GCTAGTGTTTTAAATAAATAAATAAAATAATTGTGTGTTCTTATGACTCCACAGGATGGTAAACATCCGGGCGTCCCTGAGCAACATCCCTGCAGACGGCCAATTCTCTCATGCCAGAAATGACTTGTAGTTTCTCAAGTCGCTTCTGACACAAAAGAAAGATGGCTCCCAGAAATACTTTCTGCCAGTCAATGGCGAGGAATCCTAAGAGTTGCAATTTAACATCTGAAATAGCTGAATCAATCCCACTCTGGCTCTAAAGGGTATCGTTTCCCCTTTTAAAGGAATGTGTTTGAGCAAAGAACTACCCCGTCTTGCACTTGGCTGAATTCCTGCTGTTATCTTACAATCATTGTACATTACACGCCTTATGCAGTAAGGGCTTTCCATTTTCATTTCCTCATGTAAATCTAAATAAGGACCTTATCTTATGAGTTAGGCATTTCACCAGCCTCATGAGATAAGGTCCTTAGATTTACATGAGCAAATATTATTTATCTCACAAGATCTTTCCTCTTCTGTTGTTCTTCCAATGGAAGATTGTTAGCTTCGCAAGGAAATAGTTATTTTAAAAAATGTCATTAATGGATTATTTGTGTTGGCAAAAGAAACATTTTCTGAATTGTCGCCTTGAGGAGAACAGCAGGATCAGCGTCATGAGAAAAATCCTAACCAAAGATACTATTATCCAGCTGAGGTTGTGATGCAATGCCTCCTGTGATAAGTTCCAGAGTTCATCACACTTACATTCAATGCAAATAGTGTCTCCATTTTTTCTAGAAGCATTCAAATTCTTTGTTCTATAATTTGCTTTTCCATTTCCTTAGGCTATGGTTACACCAGGAGCTCTGAATTCTTACTAGCCACCCTTATGACCTCAAAGCTAGATTGCAAACAGACAACTATTTTGTTATTTTCTGTGTAAATCGCCATGTACAGTGATGGCGATGATGATTATAGTAATACTAGCTGTCCCCTGCCACGTGTTGCTGTGGCCCAGTCTGTGGCCCCCGGTGGCGCAGTTGGTTAAACCCCTGTGCCGGCAGGACTGAAGACCGATAGGTCACAGGTTTGAATCCGGGGAGAGGCGGATGAGCTCCCTCTATCAGCTCCAGCTCCTCATGCGGGGACATGAGAGAAGCCTCCCACAAGGATGATAAAAACATCAATTCATCCAGGCGTCCCCTGGGCAACATCCTTGCAGATGGCCAATTATCTCACACCAGAAGCGACTTGCAGTTTCTCAAGTCGCTCCTGACACGACCAAAAAAAAAAAAAGGTCTGTTGATCTGAAAAAATAATGAGAAAGTGTTGGTTTTTAATATATGTAATGTCTTTTTGCTTGTGGGTAAACAGTATTTCTTCCTGTTTCTTTGTCAGTGTTGATGTGGAGAGTGTCTGGTTTGCCCACTCTGGAATATGCAACATATAATTGTCCTTCTTCAGGGGTCCCTTTCAAATCTAGGATACTATATCTCTCTGTGTGTGAATCATATCTATCTATATCTATAGCTGGATGGCTCTTTGTCAGGAGGGCTTTGATTATGGGAGTTGGATTGGGTGGCCTTGAGGATTTTCTGTTGGTCATGGGGGTTGTGTGTGGGAACTTTGGCCCAATTCTGTCGTTGAGGGGGTTCAGAACATTCTTTGATTGAAGGTGAACTATAAATCCCAGTAACTACAACTTCCAAATGTCAAGGTCTATTTCCCCCAAACTCCATCTGTGTTCATATTTGGGCATATGGAATATTCGTGCCAAGTTTGGTCCAGATCCATCATTGTTTGAGTCCATGGTAGTCTCTGGATGTAGGTGAACTACAACTCCCAAACTCAAGGTCAATGCGCACTAAACCTTTCTAGTGTTTTCTGTTGGTCATGGGAGTCCTGTATGCCCCGGTTGGTTCAAATCTATCATGCTATTTGATTGTAGGTGAACTATAAATCCCAGCAACTACAACTTCCTATCTCTATCTATCTATCTATCTATCTATCTATCTATGGCTGGATGGCTCTTTGTCAGGAGGACTTTGATTATGTTTTCTTGCCCTGATGAAGGGAGTTGGATTGGATGGCCTTAAGTATTTTCTGTTGGTCATGGGGGTTCTGTGTGGGAAGTTTGCCCCGATTCTGTCATTCATGGGGTTCAGAATGCTCTTTGATTGTAGGTGAACTGTGAATCCCAATGACTACAACTCCCAAATGTCAAGGTCTATTTCCCCCAAACTCCATCTGTTCATATTTGGGCGTATTGAGTGCTTGTGCCAATTTGGTCCAGATCCATCATTGTTTGAGTCAAGAGTGCTCTCTGGATGTAGGTGAACTACAACTCCCAAACTCAAGGTCGATGCCCACCAAACCCTTCCAGTATTTTCTGTTGGTCATGGGATTTCTGTGTGCCAAGTTTGGTTCAATTCCATCGTTGATGGAGTTCAGAATGCTCTTTGATTGTAGGTGAACTATAAATCCCAGCAACTACAACTCCCAAATAACAAAATCATAATTTTTGAGTAATGGTCACTCCTTGTGCTGTGAGAAGTTTTGTTGCCAAATTTGGTGTGATTTCGTTCATTGGTTCTTTTGTTTTTAAGGTACTCATTATGCACAGAGCATTTTTATATATATAGATGTTTCTCCTACAAATATGCATGCTAGGCAGACTTTTGTTACTTTCTACCCATAAAATAGGTGCAAAGATTATTGCAGATGCAGACTAAGCTACAAACACAAAATTTTGAAAACATACAGTATATTAGACACATAAGGCTTTCATGTGATGTAACATTTGTTACCATAGAAACAAAAAAAGAACACAAAGCCAAAGACTTATCGGCAGCCGCTCGTACACATGCAAAAGTTAAACAAACTACAGCGTTCCCTCACCTATTCCGTTCCAGGAACCCCTGCGATAAGTGAAAAACCACAATGTAGGGACACGATACTGCAGTGGTTCTCAACCTGGGGTCCCCAGGTGTTTTTGGCCTACAACTCCCAGAAACCCCAGCCACTTTACCAGCTGTTAGGATTTCTGGGAGTTGAAGGCCAAAACATCTGGGGACCCACAGGTTGAGAACCACTGCTATACCGTATATGTAAAGTATAGCTCCGCCCCCTCCTCTCTCCCCTTCCTCTCTCTTTTTTCTCTAATTGTATACTACTTGTATTTAAAATCAATTTTTTTGAAAAGCCGCAAAACGACGAGTCCGCGGTTAGCGGATCGCAAAGTGGTGAGGGAACACTGTACACTGCAACAGTATGTTAACTGAAAAATTACAGTAGCAAGAATGCAGGCTAACACAGAGAAAGAGAGAATGAGTGTAAGAGGGAGCGAAGCAATGCAGTAAATAGATATTTTTGAAGTTTATAAAACAGTTACATGGTATGACATTACTGTCATTCATTCAAAGAATGGAAATGTACGAGAGGTATTTTTTAAGTAAGGTCCGTTTGAACATAAGCACACAACGAAAGTTTATTTCAAAAAAGTAAATTTATTTTCAGAAAGTATATACTTCACTCTATTTTTCGACATAGTTGCCAAGTTTGTTCAAACTCTTATCATACCTCTGAACCAATTTTAAAATACCCTCTTCATAAAAACTTGCCGCCTGCTCCGATAACCAAGAGTACACTGCCGTTTTCACGTCGTCGTCCTCTGTTAAGAGTTTCGGGACCCAACGGGAGCAGAGTTTCCTAAACTTTAGGTGTTCAGAAACAATGTTGTAAAGCACTGATCTCGACACGTCAGGAAATTCGTTTGAGAGACCTGTTATTGTGAAGCGCCTGTTCTCACGAATCCTCGCTTCAAATGAAGCCACCAAATTGTCTGTAATCAAAGAAGGTGACCAGAGCGGTCCTCATCATGGACGTTGTCACGGCCATCTTTGAATTGTCGTACCCACTTACGCACTTTGCTTTCACTCATAACAGTATCACCGTACACTTCACAAATCTGTCGATGAATTTCTGCAGCAGGCAGGTTCCTTGCTGACAAAAACCGTATCACTGAGCGAACCTCACATGCGGAGGGTGAGTTGATAGTCTTAAACATTTTTAAAGCACAGAACAGAACCGTACAGGTTAGCTACAGAGCGGAAACTGAGCACAGTTGTTCCTGAGGCATGCCGGTACACGACGCACGCGCTCGTTGCGGTATGCGCGCGAACTACTAGTGTCTACAATAAAATGGACCTTATTTAAAAAATACCCCTCGTATCTCCAGGTTCTTTACCCTTGTCACCTTCTATGGGCCCTTCCACACAGCCATATAACCCAGAATATCAAGGCAGATAATCCACAATATTTGTTTCGAACTGGATTATCTGAGTCTACACTGCCATATAGTCCAGTTCAACATGAATTTAACAACTTTGTGGAAGGGGCCTATGTGTTCCACATGAGGATGAAGAGAGAGGATGGTGATGCCTCAGGGACAGTAGCGGTGAAAGCAGAGGCAGGGATATGTTGTGTTATCTTGAAATTCATTGTAATTTCAGTTCAGTTCGTTTGATTTTATTTTTTTATATTGTACACAGACAATGCCTATTCTATCTATTCTACCTATTTGTTCATTTTCAAGGACCATGTCATATACAATTTGATGTCATAAAATAATTAGTTGCAGTTGCTGAACTTATGCAGCCTCCTTGCAATAGTATCCAATTGAAACTTGTCTTCTTGCACCACCGCCACCACCTCTATTTCTTCCGCATTATCATCAGCTTCAGGAACAGTCAGCTCCATTAGATCACCCTCTGTTAACCTAACGGTGCTGGCTATTTCCTCAATATCCATATCCTTAAACTCTTCTCCATCCACCTTCTTTGCTGATTTCCCCATACCTTTCATATTTTTTGTTGGTTCTATAGTAAAGGCAGCTCCCACATTCAATTGTATATTTTAATTTACTTCTGAACACAGGCCCAGAATTACTTCCCTCAGAATTTGTAGAACTGCTCTGTACAAACTTTTTATAGAATCAAGTGATACTGCTTAGAAAATAATCAGGAGTTTTAGAAGTTTAATAACAGAAGAAAATAAGAATTTTAATAAAATATAAAAATAAACTCAAGAGCCCCTAAATTTCCTGGAAAAAATATTCCATGCCATATTTGCCCAGACAACTTTTGTGAAAATTCTAGGAATGCTAAAGAAGCAAGGACATCAGCCCCCATGATACTCTGGGGTTTGGGAAGCACAAGTGGCACCTTGCTTGCTGACAGCCAGACCAGTGACATTATTCTGTTCTCCTTATTCCAGAGTAATTCCAACTGAGTCCAAGGCCTCCGTGGCCCATTGAGGGTAGCGGTCTGAGTTCCCATACATAGTCTTCATGAAATCCTGAACAAACTCTGGAAATCTCTGCTCAATAATACTCTCTCGGATTGAGCGCATCAGGTTCAGCTAGAGAAGAAATAAAAATAGTCGCTTCAGCAAGCACATTTTCAACAACGTCCATTTCCCAAGAGGCACAACTAGCCATAGAAAAGAGTAATTGCAATCAATAGGGGGGGGGGGACCCAAATAATAATACAGCCCAACCAAAACAATATTTTTCTTAGTGTCTTAGCTTTTAGACCTATTACTGGGGTTATTTGAGGTGCTGATTCTGAAAATCGCATTGGTTATATGAAAATTGCATCAGCTTTAGTTTCCTAAATATGGTTCTCATGGTTTTCTATGGGAGAACAGATGAAGACTGGTATATGGCATATGTTCTCAAAAACTAGAGCTGATAGGGGGAAACTGTTGCCTTTTTGGAATCAGCAGGGCAAATATACAGGTAGTCCTCAAGTTATGAACAAGATAGGTTCTGTAGGTTTGTTCTTAAGTTGAATTTGTACTTAAGGTGGAACAGGTATATTTTTAAGGGTAACTTCAGCCAAAAAGATACATATATATTTAGTTTTGGATAGCATAGGAAAGGGTTAACATCCCTGTGGTGTTTGTTTTGCTGCCTGTACCCCTGTTCATAAGATTTGACCTCACTTTCTGTCCCTTTGAGAATAGGAATTTGAAATTTTGGCTTGTTGAAGATACAAGGATTGGTGATAAAGCTTCAGTGCAGACACCTTTTCCCCACGATAACAACTCTTTCAGGAGTGACTTTCCCTTCCTAGAGGTAGATTTGTCTCACTTTCTGTTGTCTCACCCTCATTTTTAACCTGGAGTAATTTGTAAATCAGATGTTTGCAACTGACAGAAAATGAGATGAAACCTTCTGAACAGAGGCACAGACAACAAAACAAACTCCACAGGAGTGTTAATCCTTCCCTATAATATCCAAAGCCTGGCACAGCAGGTTAAACCGCCTGCTATAGAAGATCCTGCCGACCAGAAGGTTGGCAGTTCAAGCCCGGGTCAGAGTGAGCTCCCACCATCAGCACAGCTTCTGCTCACCTAGCACTTCGAAAACAGCAATATAAGTAGATAAATAGGTACTGCTATGGCGGGGAGGTAAAAGGCACCCTGAAAAACATGCCAGCAAAAATTCAACCAGGAAAGGAGTCCATGGAGGACAGGCTCCTTGGCATAGAAAATGAAACAACAGCACCTCCCCATGGCCGAGTTGAACACAGCCGGTTGCCAGAGATGAAAAGAGAAAAGCCTTGCCTCTGTTTATGTACTGTCTGTCTCTGTCAATTGTATAATGGCATTGAATATGTGTCATATATGTATTTGTAATAAGCTCTGAGTCCCCTTTATATAAATAAAGTACCGTATATTCTGGCGTATAAGACTATTTTTTAACCCAAGAAAATCTTCTCAAAAGTCAGGGGTCGTCTTATACGTGGGAGTCATCTTATACACGGGGTCGTCTTATACGCTGGCGTAGCCTAATGCATGGGAGCCGTCTTATATGTGGGAGTTGTCTTATACGCCAGGAGTCATCTTATAGAGCGGGTGCTGAAACTTCCAATCTGGATTGGAGAATCTGTGGTTGCTGTATATTGTGGGGGGAGCTCAAAAATGGCAGTAGCTGCGTCCCTGCCATATGCAGCGACTGTATGAAAGCATTAAGGGCGACGCTGCATAAGTACAGTAGAAGAAAATCCATTCATCAGGATTCGTGGACTTAATGTGGTCTCGATGGTGAGGTGAAGGGGCGCCTCACTGGGAAGGTGTAAGTGAAGGGCGGAGCAAGCTGCAGGCATCTGGGGTGCCTGGGGTATGGAAAAAAGAGATAAAGAGTGGCTCTGGGCCACTCTTTAACACACCTCTTTTACCTGTCTGGCCCACCCTTGTATCTTATTACCATACCTCCTCCTCTGCCTCTCAGATCTTGCTCCTGAAGACTGCAGTGAAGTGGTGCAGGTGCGCATGTGCGAGATCTGAGAGGCAGAGAAGGAGGTACAGTAATAGGAACATTACCATATTGAAATCTAATCTGATGCTTTTAAATTTTTTAATTGGTGTGTGTTGGAAGAGGGGTAGTCTTATACGGTGAATATATCCCAAACTCTATATTTTAACTGGAAAAGTTTTGGGTCATCTTATACGCCCAGTCGTCTTATATGCCGGAATATATGGGTATATTATTATAAGAACAAACCGACAGAATCTATCTTGTTCGTAGCTTGGGGACTGCCTGTATCCTGTTGTCTCACCCTCAATTTAGAGTCAGAATGCAGAAGAAAATCCTCCACTTCCACTACTGCCACCCTCTGAGTAGAAGAAAGTCCTAAGGTTACATAAAGACAGACCAACCTGGTAAGCAATATTATGGACAGTCACGTGGTGCATGGCAGCTGTATCAATACGAAAAAGAGCATTCAAGAAAGCTCGGCTATACCTGTCACAAGACAAAGAAGAACAAAGTCATCTGCTTATAGCCAAGGAGGCAATTTAGGGTAAATTAAGAAAAGTAAAAGAGGGAAATTGTATTTTTCTTTCCTTTTCCAGGAAAAGAAACAGGCCAAACATAAGTGCAACTAAGGTGCAGGTGAAGCTGGGAAGCTGATTCTCTTTGCACATTGAGCACACTGTTGTTTTAGTAAAAAATGTATTCTTCTTTGGTTCTGTAAGTTTGTTGGTTGGCACAACACATATTTTTACAGGGGATGATGTCTAGGGATGATTTCTGCATGAGTCTACCAGGAATCTAGTCTGATAGCCTAATTACTATGGCTTATACGCTAATTTCATTACCACCACAACTAACAAAAATACATAAGACACAGCTGTGATTCTAAGATGCACCACATTTTAAGAGATGTTTATATAGGAAAAAGTACATCTTAGAATTTAAGAAATAAAGTATTATTTTTCTTTCCTTCCAGTAATACTCTGTTTTGCAAGGAATAAAAGAGATTGTTGAAGTATATCCAGATCACTGATGCATGTTGTTTCCAAGGCTTGGGTACAAAGTAAGCCATTATTTTATTCAGCAATAGGTATTTTTGCCTACTGATATAGTACGCCATGTATAACAACGCAGCAGATAGTAGGGAAGATTTTAAATTAAATTTATATATGGGGATGGATATATATATATATATATATATATATATATATATATATATATATAAAATAATCCCAACACTGCTCAGCCAGGTTATAAGGATAACACACCTCCTAGCTCACCAAAATATAGAGGGAGTATGGTTGCTGAACCAACTGTCTATTTAAAGTTAGGATCTGGGAACCACTGGAACTGAGAGACTTAAAATTATTCTTCAAAATATTTCCACTGCCACCATATTAATAATAAACAGGCTGAGTTTATGTTGAGAGGTTGTTCAGTAACACACTCTATGTCACTATAGTTTTCTTAAAGGTTGCTGAAAACTGACTTGAATAATACTTTGACCACCTAGGTATTCACACTGAGGCTGGTATAAGTTGATAAAAATAACAAGAACGTTTATTGAACAGGCTTGAAATATTCAGGTACAAATGCTTAATGGTTTCAGTAAAATACTGGCATAAAAAGCTTGAGGTTGCGTTTGAGTAAAGATCTTAAAAACTTCTGGGTTACAAGTCTTAAAAGTTTCAACACAGAAAATTAATTCAGGAAATGAATCTCTGAAAGTAACTTCCAAAAATCCCCCTTCGGAATCTAGCCAAAACCCTGAATTCCTTAGGAATTGAACAGACCACTAATGGGGTCCTGCTCCACCAAACAGTATTCTAGCTATCTTCAATAGCTACTCTGAATACTTTACAAAAGACTGACCCAAACTACTTCTTTAAAACCCAAACTGCTCTCACTAACACCATGCTTCTTCTCTCTACCCGTTCCAAATTCCCATTCGCAAAACTGGGACCTCAAACAGTTTAAAAGACACTTTTTCCTTCAGACCACTTAGGCTCCGCTCCCATCTTTCTAACCAATCCTAGCCTTCTGATTTTCCCTCCTAGACTTGAACACACCCCCTTAAGCAAACCTAACTTAAGATGGCTTCTCCCTGTCTCCCTTTCCTAAAATGGATGCCATAGCTTCGCCAGGCCCACTCCCTTAAGCTATCAGGCAGCTAACTAAGGTAAGGGATTCATTACACCATGCCTTTCTGACCACCTTTAAAATCAAAAATAGGACCTTCAAACATGGATGAGAAATGCTCTGCCTTCTGGGTAAACAATCTGCCTTGAAAATGCACATTGATGACTTAGGTGGAAGACAAAATGATATATTTAAAGGGGGGGAAGAAAGGGAAGTTTCCCAGGCTTAAATGCACAAACCTCTGACAGGTGGGGCAGTGACAGTTCTCATCAATGGGTCGGAAATCCTTGGCATATTGCTTGTTCTTTAGCTGTAGTGAGCCCCAGGGGACCAAGGCTGAACCAAAACGCTGAAAGTGAAAAAAGGCAGAGAGGTCTAAAAATCTGGGGAAATGTTTACAGCACTCATTTTCTTTTCCTGGCTCACTAGACTTCTCAAGTGACTTCCTAATTACAACGCCCATTTTTGGGTATAATAAATGCCCCCCCGCCCATCCCATTCTCCTCCCTCCCAGGCTGCCACTCCCAGTTTCTTCCATAGCTACTTACTGCAGTCCTTGTGGGAAAGACACAGTCAAACATGTCACAGCCAAGGGCCACACACACTACCAGGTCTGTGGCATACCTTTGGGGGAAAAGAAGTGAACAGACACAATTCAGGTGATGAAGCAGCTGCTCAATAAGTTGCCCAATTTCTGCCCAAACTCAGTTGTTTCCCTCGAGGGGACATTTGGTGGTAACCTTGTATTTTGCCACTTTACAGCCATCTCTGAAGTGTTTCCTCCTGGAACCCAGAGGAAACGGCCATTAACTTGCACAAGGCAACATTGTGCAGTATGTGTAGCATTTATCATACCCTACTCCCATAAGATAGCGAGGCTTGCTCCTGGGGAGATGATCTGTACTGAGGGCCACCATCCTCCAGAAGTGATCTTTGGCTTCACCACCACTTAGGCCCCCAATGGCAAATCCCGGCACATCTCGTTTACTCATTTCTAGCAGAGGAAGGGAGGACAGCTATTAGAGATGTGAATACCCACATAGAAAATAAAACTACCGTTGGAAGCTACAATGCAAGAATTTCCAGAGCTGCCACTGTCATTTATTACCATGCAAGAAAGCAAATTACAAGTTCACCTTTTCCCTTCATAAATTGTGAGGGCTGCTTTCAAACACTGGTGGAACTGGTATGCACCTGTATGTTTAAAGTTCACCCACTACTCTATAAACAAAGTATAAATGAGTGGAAAAGTTCTGCGCCAATTATCTTCTCATGCTTTTTGTAAAGAAGAACTTATTACTCATAATTAGGAACAAAGTTCCTTTAATACTTTTGCTACCTACTATAAAACTATGTAAGAACCAAATAATAATAATAATAATATTTTATTTATTTATTTATTTATTTATTTATTTATTTATTTATTTATTTGACTGCTCAATTTGACTGCCCAATTTGGCTCGGAGAGGTTTACAGAAGCAGATTAAAACAATACAATTAGTTTTAAAAATAACAATAACAAAACAATAGGCGGTGAGAACAGGCATAGTCCAGGTTGTTTACCCGTCAAAAACTTAATAATAAATCATACAGTCCTAGATGATTGGAAAGTGTTCGACTTGTGATTTTGTGATACAAAATCCAGCATATAGATCTCTTTTGCTGTGACAGACTGTGCTTTTGTGTAAATAATAATAATAATAATAATAATAATAATAATAGCGGCTCGAGGCGGGTTACAACATTGCTAAAATCACACAATCATCTAAAACAGCGGTTCTCAGCCTGTGGGTCCCCAGATGTTTTGGCCTTCAGCTCCCAGAAATCCTAACAGCTTGCAAACTGGCTGGGATTTCTGGGATTTATAGACCAAAACACCTGGGGACCTACAAGTTCGGAACCACTGATCTAAAAGATTTTACAAAGTGCACTTATTAAAAACACATGTCTACAAAATACATATTAAAATATTGTATTTTAAAGTTAATTGTATTGTTTTAATCTACTGCTGTAAACCGCTCTGAGCCAAATTGGGAGTAGCGGTATACAAGTCAAATAAATAAATAAAATAAATTAAACATAAGACGCAAGTTTAAAATATGTGATTAAACTAGCTTTTCTGAAAAAACCAAATATGCCCTTAAACTACAGGCCTGCTGAATAAAATCAGAATTTACCACAACTGAAACACTGGTTTATTAACCTACAAGTTAAAACTTATAGCTCTGGTTCTAGTATTCCTTATCTGAAAGTAAAGCTTTACTACAGGGTGAGGCAGCATAACTTCCTTTTTTCAAAACTTAATAAAACCCATTGTATGAATCAGACATTTGTAAAAAAAATTATAATGTAGGCGCATACCTAAATTTTTGTTTCATGTAGTTTTGAAGATCAGATTAGGTAGGTGACATCCCCAATTCTCCATAAACTGAGTAAACTGATTTCTGGCGCTTGTCATGACTCTTGCCAGCATAGCAGGCATTATGTTGGCAATTTCTTCCTGGATGTTGGTCTTCAAATCTTGTAGGGTCCTTGGGCGGTTCACATAAACACGGGATTTCAAAAAAACCCATAGAAAAAAATCACAAGGGGCCAAATCTGGAGAGCGGGCCAGCCACTCCAAATCTGCTCAAAAAGTAGGCCTGAACGGCAAAACACGCTCCTCACTGTTCCAACGCATGATGGCGACTAAACTGTGTCAGGACGAAACTTATACTCCCGCCTCTCGAACGAGACCACTAGAGCTCCACTACTTCTTCAACCGTCTGAATGGCGTGCATTCTAAAAAAGGAAGTTATGCTGCCTCACCCTGTATTTTAGTCAAGGACTATATGAGAAACTGTAACCAATGGCAAGTGATAACCGAAAGCTACCAAAATAAAGGAGTTTCAACTTAATTTCCTCTGGTTCTCTCCTCAAAATATCTGGCAAACATATCTGTTGCTGAAAAGAAAAGATCAGATGCAGAAGTAAACCTGCCTTCCAAGCACTTGGTCCGAAGGGCAGGATCCAGCCCACCCTGGATAATAGCAAATAGATTCTGCTTGCTGGGCTGGCTGTGTGCTGCAATACATCGATCCAGCCAACGAATGGACCTGCAAGGTACAGAGGCCACAATCAGACATTGCATCAAGTATACTAATACTAATCGCCCAAATGAGACTAAGGCCCCTTCTGCACTGCCATCTAATCCAGATTATCAAAGTAAATAATCCACATGATCTGCTTTGAACTAGATTATGTGAATCTACACTACCATATAATCTAGTTGTCTCGTGATGTTTTGTATTGATGTTGTTCACCGCTTTGAGTCGCCTGAGGGCTGAGAAAAGCGGTATATAAATAAAGTAAATAAATAAATAAATAGTTCAAAGCTATCTGGATTTTATATGACAGTGTACAAGGGGCCTCACAACCAACCTACTTGCCTTTGTGAACTTCGGTTGACTTTCTGTAAATCAATGCAGATGTTTTATTGTTTAGGTTTTTACGTCATTATATAAATCTAGTTGAATATGTTTTGTTTAATTTATTGATGTTAGGTTCTGATGTTATTTTCCTATGTGGAATTATTTTGGATTGATTGTTAACATTTGTTTGTTTTATTGAGGCATTGAATGTTTTCCTTTTGTATGTTGGAATCCGCCCTGAATCCCCCTGGGGAGGTAAGATGGAATACAAATAAAGTTGTTGTTGCTGTTATTTATCACTTCCTTTCAGCATTAAATGTATATATTCCAAGCAGGGAATTGAGCAGATAGATACTGAGTCATGGTATCTGAAAACCCAACAATCTAGGCTTGCCCTGCTCAGTCAATGTGCAACTATAGTAATGATTGTGTGTATTTTCTGTAATTTCAGTAATTTTCTGTATTTCTGAAGAAGGGATACAGAAGCATATTTTAGTTATTATATATTTACAGTATTTGTATACCGCTTTTCTCACCCCGAGGGGGACTCTAAGCGGTTTACACATAAGTAATGGCAAAATTCAATGCCAGTACAAACAATTACAATGATACACTACAATCAGACATAAATCAAGTTAAAAACAACACATCCACAAGCAATAAAACAATAATTAAAACAATAAACAGTCTCGTCTGTTGAATTGCCATTCCAGTCATTGTCTTTCTGAAATGCTGCATACATTTACTTCTACTGCCTGAAGGCCTGGTCCCAAAACCATAATTTTAATTTTTTTTCTAAAAGCCAGGAGGGAGGGAGCGGATCTTACCTCATTTGGGAGTATGTTCCATAGGTGGGGGGCCACCGCCAAGAAGGCTCTGTCTCTCGTCCCCGCCAGACGCATCTGTGCTGTTGACGGGAGCGAGAGCAGGGCCTCCCCGGATGATCTTAGATTATGAGGTGGGACGTAGGGGTGGATGCGTTCGGACAAGTAAGCCGGGCCAGAACCACATAGGCTGAATGGCACTGGGATTCTCAGATAATAATGGACTATCTTTTAAACATCTTGAAATACATCTGTTTTTGTTTTTTTTTGTAGATTTTATTGGACACTTCCCAGTTTTGTTCCCTCGTGGTATTGTCGCACATATAGTCTGCTAAACATAAAAGACAAATGCAGTGCACATCGACAAGAATAAGAAAAAAAAACCCTAAGATTTTCAAAAAATGTATAATATGACAAATCCTATCATATGAAATTCAATAAAATATAAATTTTCTGAAGTAGCACAAAATTCCAAAATCTGGTTTATTTTTTTAAAATAGTTTAAAAATACAGCACAGAAATCATACAGACATGGGGCTATAGGGACAATTTTCCAAAAGCGGATTAATTTCCACAGTTGCAAAAAAAAAAAAAAGATTTAGAAAACGACAAATAAGCAGGCAGACGTTTCAATAGCCCAGTGTGAGACTGAATGTTTTCACCAAATAACTCTTACTTCTGGAGAATGTAGTTTACATCTCAAACCAAACAGAGTGGCTATATAATCAAATTAACACTGCAAAATTTCATTTGCTCAAACTAAACATGTGGAATCTGAAAATTTCACTAGGCGTAAGCCAAAGCTATGTAACTGGAGAAATAAGGCAGACCACATGAGCAAGTATCACCGCATACAATCACTGAACTGGGTCAACAGGGTCTAAAATCAGGTAGACGTAACGTCTGCTGCACAAACCTGAACATGGCCTCCTCTACACGGGGACCACTGACTGTGCTGCTGACCACATCATCTAACTGCATCATGATGTCAGAGCCTGAAAAGAAATATATAATTAATTTGGGACTGGATGGAAACACTATGTAACAAAATTTGAAAAAAAAAACCATTCTGTTCCTGGCTTGAAAGTGTCATTTCCTGTTTAATTGTGCAGTACTTACTTTGAAAGTAACTTCATTTTTGTGGCTGCCACAAACTATGCTGAATTGGTTGAGACTCTATGAGATATTCATTGAAAAACTATAGCAAGATGTCCCACGAAGACAATGTTTTTGCAGTTTAATAAACTTTTGCCATTTTTTGTGATAGAACAAATTAGGAAATGACATTTATACGCCAGGAACAAAAATTGGGGTATATAGTGTAATTGAATTTACATACTAGATTTCAGGTAATTTATATTCTAACTCAAAAGAACTCAAGTACAATAATAAGCAAGTAAGCATTACTACTTTTAAAACATATCTGTATATATTTGTATTTTATATATCTCTCTCTATCTATGTATATAATAAAAATCAAAATATGTATGTATCTATGTTTGTATGTATTTTCCAAGATGGCTCCAACATCTAGAGCGCACTATGAACCTCACCAACGATACATAGACAAACTTAATATGTATACCCAACATTACCAACTGAAAATACTACAGGGGTTGAGGGAAGGCGGAATGATGGGAACTGTAGTTCATCTCATCCAGAGAGTACCAATGATGGATCTGAACCAAACTTGGCACACATACCCATCATAAAATAGTGGAAGATTTCAGAGAGGATTGATACAGGATAATGGGAGTTAAAGTTCATCCTACATCCAGAGATCCATGTGACTCAAACCAACAATGGATCTGGACCAAACTTGGGACATATACTCATCATGAACAATTTAAAATATTGGCGGTTGGGGGGAATTGACCTAGGATGCTGGGAGCTATAGTTAACCAACGCCCTTTTGCTTTTTCTAATAGGACCATTCACAAAATCCAAAAATAATCAATGACTACTTCTAATAAATAGCATTACAAAAGACCTAAATGCCTAAGCTAGCATATGTATATGTACATATGTAAATGTACATGTATATATTTGTATTAGGGTGAAGCAAACAGTGAAAATATATGTTTGTTTGTCACAACAGCTTTAGGTGTAACCTGAAATCTGCAGGGGCACACAGAATGTAGATTATTCCCTGTAGTGCTGAAAATTTGGTGTGCATGCTCCAGCATATCCTTATTACACTAGATTTATACTAATAGGTGCTATACTGGCTGAAAAAGACACTAACATGAACCACAACTGTTAGGTTTTCACATCATCATCGTTATTATAGCTCTTGTTTTCTTATTTGAATTTTATTTTCAGTAAAGATTCAGCAGTAATTCTGTAAATTGACTAAGCGGAATGGAATTATGGAACTCTGAAAGATGAACGCTGAGCATGAGATTAGTTTTATTGATTGTGTTATGTACCGATTGTTTTTAACTTGATAATTGTTTTAACTCCTGTTTTGTATGTATGTGTATCTTGTGTAGGCATCGAATTGTGCCTTTCTGTAAGCCGCCCTGAGTCCCCGTCCCCCCCCCCCGGGGTTGAGAAGGGCGGGGTAGAAGTACCCGAAATAAATAAATAAATAAATAAATAAAGAGTTCTCAACACACTAAAACATATTTTTTGTGTTGCCTGAAAACAGCAATGAAATAGTTGTAGCAGGAAAGAAACGTACTCCCTGACTAAAAAACAGAGTCAGTCATCTTACTAGCTGGTACTTATGCAAGATGCAATATTACCAAGAGCATTCTGTATTTCAATGGATTTCTCCGGAGTCAGCAGAATCTCTGTGCCATCATAAGGAGAGCAGAACTGTACTCCTTCTTCAGTTACCTTGGAAAGCTCCACCAAGGAAACCATCTGAAACCCACCACTGTCCTGCAGAAAAAGATTGACACCCTAAAGAGAACTGAAAGAGGGGTCATCTAATGTGGAACTTTGCTGCACCTAACACCAGAAGCACTAGGTTCCCTTGACTAGAAGGTCCATCCACACTATAGAATTAATGCAGTTTGCCACCACTTTATCAGCCATGGCTCAATGCTATGAATCTTGGGACTTATAGTTTGGTGAGGCACCAGCACTCTCTAGCAGAGTAGGCTAAAGACATTGTAAAACTACAATTCCCATGAATTTATTTACAGTACTACTGCTCATCAGATCAATGAATAATCTAAGGAAAAACAACATACAGAATTCCTTCTCTTAATACCTTTAGCAAGGGCAATTTTTATACCTCTGTGTGGGTGACACCTGGTTATCCAAACTGGCACAAAATTTGGCAATATTTCCATGCATGCTGAACATGCATTTCCAAGTTTTACAGCATTCGGGGGTCTTCCAAGCATTATGATTTTCTTCTATATGCAGCATACAGCAACCATTCTACTGGAATATATACTCCTGTTACTTGTCAGACTTGTGGTCCTCCAGCTCCCATAATTCCTGGCCATTGAACAAGCTGGCTAAGTCTTCTGGGAGTTGGAGGCCCAAACATCCGGAGTGCACCTCTACATCTATCCTCTGTATCTAATTTATTTATTTATTTATTTATTTGCTGCACTTATTAACCGCCATTCTCAGCCCTTACGGGCGACTCATGGCGGTGTACAGTACACATAAAAAGACAGTTACAAAAGCCAGAATCCACAACACATAACTATACACCAAATACAAAACTACATAAAAATCCGCTTCGTCTCTTAATAGAATCATAGGCCAGTCTCATCATCCTTATACCATTCCAGTTCTCATTACCGTAATGTTGTTGCTGCACTTAATTAAATGCCCTCTCGAACAGCCAGGTCTTAAGGCTTTTTCGAAAGGACATGAGGGAGGGCGCCTGTCTGATGTGTGCCGGGAGAGTGTTCCATAGCCGGAACACTTATTTATTTATTTATTTATTTATTTATTTATTTATTTATTTATTTATGGCATTTATATGCTGCAATCTCACCCCGAAGGGGACTCAGAGCGGCTTACAATATATATTTTTATACAATATATTATATTATTAGCATAGTATGATATCAGTATTATATATTACTATATTGCACTATACCATTATATTGTAATATTATTAGTAATATTACATGTAATGTAAATATATAATTATAACTATAATATTGTATTATTATTACTAGTATCATATTGTATTACATTATAATATTATAAATTATAATATTATATTATTATAAAGACAAGATGGAAATGTCTTCTGCTCCCCTCTGTCTTTGCTCTGGCCAGAGCAATTGTTGGAACGTATCTAACTTGACACCTCTGTATCTAACTGATCTAGATTGCAATCTTATCCTTACTAACCGCCATGGGCACAAGAAGTCTTCTATATACCCTTTTAAGTCGTCGGTACACTGAAAGATCTTTGCAAAGAATGTATTGTCGAAGGCTTTCATGGTTGGAATCACTAAGTTCTTGTGGGTTTTTTCGGGCTATATGGCCATGTTCTAGAGGCATTTCTCCTGACGTTTCGCATGCATCTATGGCAAGCATCCTCACCTCTGAGGATGCTTGCCATAGATGAATGCGAAACGTCAGGAGAAATGCCTCTAGAACATGGCCATATAGCCCGAAAAAACCCACAAGAACTTATCTTTGCAAAGGTTTCCCTTTTAACTAATACAAAGTATTTCTATTGAATATAAGGTTTATCAATCCTTCAAACCCTTAAAAACACAAATGATTATTGGCAAAGAAGTTAACTGGTAAATGGCGATAATTTTATCACATCCCTGTCTGTCTAGATTTTTATGAGGTGCAGAAAGTACTAAAAATTCTCCCATGTCTGGCAAAATAGCCATACTTTGATGTCTATGCTATTAAATTATCACTTAAAACAGGGCTTCTTAAATTTTTTCCACTCATGACCTCTTTCTGCCTGAGAACTTTTTATATGGCCCCAGGTATATAAGGATATTAAATAGATATAAAAATCAAACATTTACTGATAATAAATCAGCATTTACAACGCTTGGTAAACAGGCTGGTTTTCCTTTTCATGAGTACAGCTGAAGCATTTCTACTGTAAATATTACATGTTGATGCTAACAGATTTGCGTAAATGGGTGGCAGTAAAAAAACTTTTACTGTTATCAAACTTGTCATGACCCTAACACAGAGCTAAGGGAACTCTATTTGGGGTTGAAACCCACAGTTTAAGCAGTGACTAAAAAAACAATAATTAGGTATGCTATGCTGGAGCAAGGACTTTACTGTCATGCCTGCCTCATATGTCACACTTTGCAGTATTTGTCAACAGCCAAAGTCTAATCAAAGAAAGCATTCCCCACCACCATGATTAATAACTCCCTTGTACTCACTGTAAGCAAGTTCCGTGACCAGTTCATAAAGCCATGAAGTCCATTGGCTTTTTTGATAAGGTCTGGTCCCTGGTGAAGGAGAAAAATCATTGTCATTGCCTGGAATATGTGCAATTCCCAACATCCACTCAATCCACACACCCACACTGCAGCCTACACACAAAAATTCATACAAAATTGTCACCAAAAGTCTGTAGAAGAGTTTCTGAGGACATTTTAACAATGTTTTTAGGTATCGCTCCTCACGTTTTTCTCACTATCCCCTTCCTTCAAGGCACATATGGCTGTGACATTACATCCACATCACTGTGTGGATCAACTCGGCAGGCGGAAGAGCGTGGGAACAGAGATCCCTCCGATCCAGTAAACGGCACTTGACTCTTAAGGTCTCATCTACACTGCCTTATAAAATCCAGATTATCTGATTTGAACTTGATTATATGGCAGTATAGACTCATATAATCCAGTTCAAAGCAGATAATGTAGATTATCTGATTTGATAATCTGGATTACATAGCAATGTTGAAAGGGCCTAAGGAAAACAGGAATTTTCAAAGCAGAGGCTTCTGTCTCTGTCCAATGACAAAATTCACAAAAGTAGGTACTGCCTCAAGCTTCTCTAAATGTCTGTGAGTTTGGTGGCTATGGAAAGGCATTCCACACAATTTCTGGTACTCCTACTGTACCTAAGACACACTGGGCATACATTGGGCAGCAGATAAAAAGAGAGGGAAAGGAATCTCATTGAGATAGCTGTGTATGCTTAGCTTGGAGACAGAAGGCTAAGAGGGAATGTAATTGCAATGTTTAAATATCTGAAAGGATGTCACATTGAGGAGGGGAGGAAGTTTGTTTTCTGCTGCTCTGGAGACTACTGCCCCTCTATCCCAGGATCTGATCCTAGATTATCTGATTACTCCAGATTATCTGGCAGTGGAGATTCATATAATCCAGTATAAAGCAGATAATCTGGGGTCAGATTCCTGGGATATAGGGCAGCGTAGAAGGGGCCTAGGACATGGAGCAATGATTCAAACTGCAGGACTAAACATGAAACATTAGGAAGAATTTCCTGCCAGCTAGATGAATATGCTGCCTCAGAGTGTAGTGGGGTTACTTTCTTTGGAGGTCTTTCAGCAGAGGGTGGATGGCCATCTTTCAGGAGTACATATACACCATGTCGTAAAAAATATAAAATGGTTAACAACTCAAAATTAGTGCCAGAGAAAGTAGGAGAACTTGTCAAAGGGTGGGAGGCTGCAGCATGATATTCCTACACATCTGTGTAGTACTCAAGATTTGCCTTTGGGATTTTTTTTCCCCTGAATATTTTCGAGCTGCAGTTGATTGAATCCACAGATGAAGAACCTGTGGATAAGTATCTGTGTTCTCCTGATTCACATTTTTTATTGCGTGCTCATCTTTTGAGATGATCAACTGCTAAACAAGGCCTGATTGTACAAATTTCCAAGGTCAATTGGAGACCTGAAGCTAAACAAAGTAATTAGTGGCAACTCTACAGTATAATCTGATTGTAACATTTTAGGTGGTAATAAACCCTGGAATTTCAAACCATGAGTTTTAAATTTACTTTCTATTTCAATTGCATTTTAATATTTTTACCATGCACACACACCCATATAACACTGATGTGGATGGTTGATTGTAAGGTGGAATTCTATACTGTTCACTGACCATAATAAACTATATATATATATAGATATATACACACACACACACACACATATACACACACGTGTGTGTGCGTGCTTTAATATGTGCAGTCTATTGCATGTATTTTATGGTGATGTGTTTGTAACTACTTCAAGCCATGAGGAGAGGCAGATAACAAATTATTATTATTATTATTATTATTATTATTATTATTATTATTATTATTATTTTAATCCGTGGGTCAGGATCTGACTTAGGAGAGCCTTTGATATAGGCCAACATCCAGTCAAAGACAATTCCTATCAAAGATAAATGCAATTATTTACTACACAAAATATCTATGTAAATGCATCTACGTAAAATGGGCCACTATCCAGCCAGGTTTATCATGAATTTTAAACTTGCGTCTTGTGTCCAGTATATCTGAATCATTGTTCTGTGTATTATATATTAAAATACACAGAACAATGATTCAGATATACTGGACACAAGACGCAAGTTTAAAATTCATGATTAAAGATTGTCTGCCTTTAAAGATAGAAAATCTTTATAAAGGTTTTCTGCCTTTAACACAGTTCTATGTGTTTTGGGTGGGATGGTTATTTGTTTATGTATTTTCTCTTTACGGCACTGAATGTTGTTCACTGCCCTGAGTCCCTTTGGGGGGATAGGACGGTATATACGAGGGGTATTTTTTAAGTAAGGTCCATTTTGTTGTAGACACTAGTAGTTCACGCGCAGCGTGCGTTGTGTACCGGCATGCCTCGGGAACAACTGTGCTCAGTTTCCGCTCTGTAGCTAACCTGTACGGTTCTGTTCTGTGCTTTAAAATGTTTAAGACTGTCAACTCACCCTCCGCATGTGAGGTTCGCTCATTGATACGGTTTTTGTCAGCAAGGAACCTGCCTGCTGCAGAAATTCATTGACAGATTTGTGAAGTGTACGGTGATACTGTTAGTGAAAGCAAAGTGCGTAAGTGGGTACGACAATTCAAAGATGGCCGTGACAACGTCCATTATGAGGACCGCTCCGGTTGCCCTTCTTTGATTACAGACGATTTGGTGGCTTCAGTTGAAGCGAGGATTTGTGAAGAGGGTATTTTAAAATTGGTTTAGAGGTATGATAAGTGTTTGAACAAACTTGGCAACTATGTCGAAAAATAGGGTGAAGTATGTACTTTCTGAAAATAAATTTACTTTTTTGAAATAAACATTCGTTGTGTACTTATGTTCAAACGGACCTTACTTAAAAAATACCCCTCGTAAATAAAGTGTATTATTATTATTACTATTATTAATATATATGTTTTGTAGAAATACATTGGAATATGCCACTTTTATATAATGAATATGTGTTTTAGCTGTGTTGCAACCTGTCATGAGGCGAGCCAGGTAAGAATTATTATTACCCATTATTATTATTATTGTTATTATAATAATTATCTGTCATTTAGACTGTAGCCTGCTCCACTGATTTCACCTGCCTACCCTTTTACATTTACAAAGAGCATGAATTCTTCTTTCTTTGGGCCCTTCCAGACAGGCCCTATATCCCAGGATCTGATCCCAGGTTTTCTGCTTTAAACTGGATTTTATGAGTCCCCACTGCCAGATATTCTGGGAGAAGTAGATAATCTGGGATCAGACTCAGGGATATTGGGCCTGTCTGGAAAGACCCCTGGATTTAAAACTGGAGTGCTGTAGTTTTTAAAGAGACGGCTCTCATTTCCTCCCAGGAAGCGAAAGAAAGCTATATTCCTTTAGTACTCGGAATATCGCGCCCAGCGTCTTCCTCTACATGTTCCACAGGCTACATAGCTCTAGGCGGCACGTAGGAAGGGAGGAAGAGGACTCACGGGGCGCATGCCCAGATGGTACGTGTTGCCGAGGCACAGGCGGCACCCGAGGCGGTCCAGCTGCGAGGCGGTGAGGCCCTTCATGGTCCCCTGCGTGCCCACAGGCATGAACACCGGGCACTCCACCGTGCCATGCGGCAGGCGCAGCTCGCAAGCCCGGGCTCGGCTCCGCCCGCACTCCGCCACCACCCGCAGAGACAAAGCCGCCGGCGCCGTCGAACTTGCCGCCATGACAGGGGTCCAGTGTCACGTGACGCAGACCCCCCCTTCGGAGGGCGGGGCTTAACCACCCAAGCGTTCCCGCGACCTGCGCAAATGGTGTCACTGTGGCAGCCTTGGCCGTGACGTCATTACGCCTGACTGCATTGTAGTGCTAGAGCTGTTGAAAAGTCTAGAGGCATATGCGTATATGGACTTTCAAGAATATCGACACTGGGCAGGTTGAAATCCTTAGTGCTTTACAGAAAGAAGCCACAAGGTGGAGCCACGCTTCAGAATTTGAGCTGTTTTGACTCCGCATTCGCTTAGGGCCTATCTGCTTTGAACTGGGTTATCTGAGTCCACACTCAGATAATGTGGGATTTCCTGCCTTGATATTCTTGGATATAGGGCTGTGAGGAAGGGCCCTGGAAGGGCAACAGCACAACAACAGAGAGGAAACAAACAAGGACATCTCATCAACTCTCAACAAAAGTTGGCTCCAGGCACTGTCAGGCCATTATGTGCTAATCAAGGTGATCAGTTGAAACATTCACATCTAGCTCCAGCAGACAAGAGTTCTTTGTCTCACCCTGGTCATTCCACAGATATATAAACCCTTTTTCCTACTTCCAACAGACCTCACTACCTCTGAGGATGCTTGCCATAGATGCAGGCGAAACGTCAGGAGAGAATGCCTCTAGACCATGGCCATACAGCCCAAAAAAACCTACAACAACCCAGTGATTCCGGCCATGAAAGCCTTCGACAATATTTATTTATTTATTTATTTACTTTGCTTGTATACCGCAGTTTCTCAGCCCGTAGGCGACTCAACGCGGCGCACAACAAGAGCAAAAGTCAGTCCAACAACATACAATATTAAAACCATTAACAGTATAAAATACAAACTAATGACATCTCAACAACAACACATTAACGTCTCGTAACTAAAATCGTGATCCAATTCGTCATCCATAATTCCGTTTCCTATATTCATCGTGTTCATTGCACTATTTATCCGAACACCTGTTCAAACAGCCAGGTTTTTAGTTTTCTTCGAAACACCATTAGCGAAGGGGCTGATCTAATGTCCATGGGAAGGGCGTTCCACAGCCGAGGGGCCACCACAGAAAAGGCCCTAACCCTCGTCCCCGCCAGCCGTGCCTGTGATGCAGGCGGGATCGAGAGCAGGGCCTCCCCAGAAGATCTTAGAGTCCTGGTGGGTTCATAGGCAGAGATACGTTTGGATAGGTAGCTTGGGCCAGAACCGTTTAAGGCTTTATAGGCCAACGCCAGCACTTTGAATTGAGCCCGGTAGCAGATCGGCAGCCAGTGGAGCTGGTGCAGCAAAGGAGTTGTATGCTCCCTGCGCTCCACTCCTGTTAGTATCCTGGCTGCTAATACACTGCCCCTTATATGGCTCCATTCTATCCTGTTACCTTCTGGGTTAAATAGAAAGTACTGGTTACCTATAGAGAAGGAAAAGTTCTGGTCCTAGCTGTTTAACTAAGAAGGAGAAGAACTTTATTTTTCTACCCCGCCTCCATCTCCCCGAAAGGGACTCGGGGCGGCTTACATGGGGTCCAGGCCCAGGCAGAATACAATTAAAATAAAGCAATAACAATTAAAACAGCATAAAACAACATAACAAAAATAGCTAGCAACAGCAATAACAGCAGACTAATTTTGGAGTGGGGGAGGGGGAGGAAAACCACTACATGAACTAGTTAAAGGATAAAGTGGTTTAGTAAGATAGATGACAATGTATAACGGCATAGGAAAAATCATGGAAACAGAGCTAATTAACAGGGTCAGTGAATATAATATAGGACATCAGATTGAATGACAAACCTTATGAACCACCTAGGACGATAAGATCGTCTGGGGAGGCCCTGTTCTAGACTCCGTCTGCATCACAAATACATTTGGCGGGGATGAGAGACAGGGCCTTCTCAGTGGTGGCCCCTCAGCTATGGAACGCCCTTCCTAGGGACATCAGATTGGCTCCCTCGCTTTTGACTTTCCGAAAAAAAAGTCAAAACCTGGCTGTTTGAGCAGGCATTTGAAAAGGCAGTGTAACAGACATAGAATTATGGAACAATTGGACGAGATCGGACTACGTTTTTATCTAGGAGACGAAATGTTTATTGTTATGGTCTTAATTGATATGTTAATGCTTTTAAATGTTTTTATGACGTTGTTGGCATTGAATTGTTGCCTTGTGAACCACCTAGAGTCGCCTGAGGGCTGAGCAAATAAATAAATAAATAGAATAATAGAGTTGGAAGAGACCACATGAGCCATCTAATCCAGCTCCATGCCATGCAGGAAAAGCACAATCATGCCATCATAAATTACGATGCATTTATGCTGCAGAATTGATACAGCTGGATGCCACTTTAGCTGCTGTGGCTCAGTGGGATGGAAGCATGGAAGTTGTCGTTTCGCAAGGTCTTTAGCCCTGTCTGCCAGAGTGTTGGTCTCAAACCTCATGTCTCAAGATTCCATATCATTGTGTCATGGCAGTTCAAATAAACTGCATCCATTTTTGCCATGAATATGCACCGTTGCCACAAAGGAAGGTTTCAGAAGGTTGAAACCCATGTGACTTCCAGAAATGTGTTGTATATCCTTCCCTTGTTAGGCAATCCAATCTTATTATGTCTTCAACAACAAAAAATGTCTTCAAGCTGCTGTGGGCTAGCAAAGAGGTTTTCTTTTTCTTTTTTTACTTTCCTGTTTTTCACGATTAGTCATTTCTCTACCAGTTCTCCTCAATATCCAACCATTGTATAACTTTGAGAACAACATCAAAACAGAAGAAGAAAAAAAACCTTAATCGTAAATTGATGTTTACTGATACTGGAAATATTATTTAAATGTTAACAGGAAAGGAAAAAAATGCATCCCTTGTTTCACACATGTCAAATTCGAGGCCTCTGGGGCAAATTCAGCCCACCATGTCATTTTACGTTGCCCTCCAGGTCCTGGAATCACCTAAATAAATAAAAATGTAAAGTTCATTTGTGGGATTAACATAACTCAAAAACCACTGGATGAATTGACACCAAATTTGGCAGCAAAACACATACTAATCCAATCCATGTCTTTCAAACAAACAACAATTTAAAAAATGAAGGGGAAATAACGTAAAACTCTCCAAAAAGAAAAATACCTTACAGAGCATGTGCATTGGGAGTCCCAATGCACAAGAAGAATGATGCACCAACCGTTGTGAGGGAAGAGAAGCCTTGCCATGGAGTCCCTTTCCATGCATGAAGGCAGAGTCCTCTTTCTTTTGAGGAGGGGAGGGATTGAGGAAAGGAAAGAGGGAAGGAGAAGGTCTGGCCTGATGGAGAACATGGAGGCTTGGTGAGGGAAGAGTTGGAAGAGACCTCATGGGTCATCCAGTCCAACCCCCTGCCAAGAAGCAGGAATATTGTATTCAAAGCACCCGCGACACATGGCCATCCAGCTTCTGTTTAAAAGCTTCCACCACATTCCGGGGCAGAACAATGGCTTCAAACTACATGAAAGGAGATTCCATCTGAACATTAGGAAGAACTTCCTGACTGTGAGAGCCGTTCAGCAGTGGAACTCACTGCCTCGGAGTGTGGTGGAGGCTTCCTTCTTTGGAGGCTTTTAAACAGGCTGGATGGCCATCTGTCGGGGGTGCTTTGAATGCGATTTTCCTGTTTCTTGGAAGGGGGTTGGACTGGATGGCCCATGAAGTCTCTTCCAACTCTATGATTCTATGATTCTAAGGCAGTGTAGAAGGGGCCTGAAAAGAGGTCGTGCATGTAGTGAGACTGTAAAGCAGTGACGATTACTATAGTTATAGATTTATGGGGTGGTATTACAAATAATTAAAACCACAGGATCGTATATTTTGGCAAATGGTAGATTTGCATGAAGCCCAAAGAAGTGGATCGACAACAAATCAGGATAAGATTACGAATAACTGATCAGAATATGTTGTTAGATTCTAAGCTTTGTCCTTCAGTATTTTTGAATATTGAATATTAGAACTAGAATCAACCAAAGAGTTGATCGCAACTTAATAGTGATCACACTAAATTCATTTCAGCAATGCTCTGTTGATGGTTAGGAACAATGACTAATGTGGCTGTTTATGGAAAAACTCAAACATCAGTTAAGGCTTCAGAAAAATGTGGCCAAGTGAGTTTCCATAAGTTTTTCATGTAAGCAAACAAATGACCAGCCTGGAAACTTGGAAAGAACAGTGTGATAACAATATTGTGTCTTTAAGCATCTTCAGGTTTTTTGTCAATTTATGAAAACCTAGTGCATTTCATACCAATTTCCGTTGTTGTTGTTTATTCCTTCAGTCACTTCCGACTCTTCGTGACCTCATGGACTAGCCCACGCCAGAGCTCCCTGTCAGCCGTCACCACCCCCAGCTCCTTCAAGGTCAAGCTAGTCACTTCAAGGATACCATTTCTGAGGGAAGGAATAGTCAGAGGAGGTTTTCCCCTGCCTTTCTCTGAAATATTAAAATTAATTGCCCTTCTCTTTTTTTGTATTGTTATGTTCATTCCTAACATACTTATCCTTGTCTTCTGTTGACTTTGCCACTTTCTTCTATTATCTAGAAATGATGCGATGCTGGTGAGGTTGTCTGGATTTTGCGACATTTAAAATTGACCAATGGGTTTGGGAGGAGAAGAAGACACAACAACAACAGCAACAGCAACAACAACAACAACAAACTTTATTTATATTCCGCCCTTCTCACCCCGAAGGGGACTCAGGGCTGATCACAGTACATATACTTGGCAAACATTCAATGCCATTTTGTATAGACAATACACAGACAGACAACAGAAGGAGGTGGTTTGTTTCTATAATTGTTGTTTTGCTTGTATTGTTGTATTCGGGCTCAGCCTCTTGTAAGCCCCACCGAGTCCCTTGGGGAGATGGTAGCGGGGTACAAATAAAGTGTTATTATTATTATTATTATTATTATTATTATTATTATTATTCAGTATCCAGCTGTTTTGATGCCATGGAAGGTTGGGCTTGAGTCCAGGGGGTGCTGTTGCTCTATCTTTT